AATCGATCAATCAGATTTCTTTCATTCTTCAGATCGTAGTTGGCGCGAATTATTATGGCACACCACATCATCCGCTTATGATCGGAGTGCGTGCGTGAATGATGATTCGAAAATGGGCTCTGAGTTTCAATCTGACTGATTTTTAAGGGACTAACTCCGTATGTTTCGAAAAAGGTAATATCCAGAAGATTATGCTTTGGAGAACGTGATGCAAAAGTAAGTGTTTCGTTGACGCTTGAGCCATTGATCGAGAATTAAACTGGGATGGCCCCATGTCTCACGGGGCAAGTGAGAGTCTGCGGGTGTGTCTTGTCGAATTTACACCAGACAAAACGTCCCCTTGCGTTTCACTGAACGGTTTCAACAGGTGGAGGTCATGCGATACCTCGGCCAAACTCCTTTGCTGAGCTCTGTTTTTTCTGTCCAATGTAATTTTACGTTTCATCTTACCCGTCGGCAGAGTTCTGAAAAGTCGGCTTATGCATGTCTAGTCGTAGATTTGTATAAGAACTTTTAAACGATTTGTCACCAGCTCAAAGTATACGTTGCATTGTCCGATACTCCACACAACCAAGAGGACTCGCACAGGTCCTGCTGCAGAAGAGCGGTAAAATGCCGTTCGAAACATCATGGTCAAAGTTTTATGCAAATGTGCTAAATAAAATTGTTCTGCTTTGAGGTGTTTTATAAACCTTTTTACGGTTATAATAAAAAACAGAGTTTCTCCCCATATGGATCCGGGCAAACTACTTCCGTGTCTAAACTCTTACCCACTACGTTGTGTGATGCCATTTTTTGGCTTTGCTTCAACTGCCAAGTCTCGGTTGCAGTAAGCCACGGTGGACCCCTGTCGCGACAGTGGCGCATGCTTGGCCCACTGGGAGCTGGTTGGGGCTGGGAGTTTCGGCTGCGTGAAACGACCAGTTCTGTCTACCGCTGTTGGCTGGCACAAAACGCGTCCACGACGTTCATTCACCACAGCGGTACCTCCTTTGAGTGGTGCCACGTTGTTAAGTTTGTCGCCCGAGTCAGATGGCAAACATTTGCAGCTTAATGGAGCGGCGGCGGAGGACCAGCTGAGTGACGACGCCTCCGCCTCGGCCGAAGGTTGAGGATTGGTACTTTATAGCCGCTCGGCCGTGCGCACCAGCTCGAAAGTGACAGCCCGAGAGCGCAGGTCGTCGTCGGAATCGAATATGCGTTTTTGCCAGGTGAAATCCATCTTTCGCCAGACTAAAACAAATCACTGCTGTCCTGGCGGCACTTTGAAGTTCTGCACTTCGAAGCCGACCGCCGCGGATTACTTTTGAAACGCCAACACGGCCGCCACACGTCACACCGGCGGTTTCTCTTTCTCCTTCGCTTTCGTGGCATCCTGGTGGTTCTTCTGCTTCCTGGTGGTCGTGTCTGGTTGTTGCCCACCCGCCGCCCCATCCCACCTCTTATCCTTACTGATTGATTGATCGCTCCTCCTCGACCGCCCACCGACTTGGAATTGGCAGCGTACGCAGGGAGGAGCTGCGGCGAACGATCAACAGAAAACACGCAAAATTCGACCCTCACACTCCGGTGCCCTCGTGTTTACAACTGATTGTCTCCCAACCACTTTTTAGAATGCTGATGCAAGAACAAGAGGAAGATTTATCTGGCCATCTAAGCTTCAAAGGACTGTACAGGCATGAATGCATACTTCTCAACCTCACCCGCCGGTACACGTGAATGTGAACAAATATTTTTGTAGCGC